TATATATATATTTTGAACAACTGATCTGATCTGCAAATAAATACATAAACTATCATAAATAAAGCATACAACTACAAAAGACAAGCATAGAGGGTCTACAACATTCTACAACTACCTCCTCTACAATGCTCTATAGAAGGCCCTCCTAGCACCCACCCCCAACACCCTCGAAAAGGAGGTACTTGGATCCCTATACCCTAGGCATCCAGATTCTCGGAAGGCAATTGGACCCTACAAGCTTGTTTCTGCAAGCTCCAATCATCCAGCTTGTGGCTCCGGGATAGGCACACTTATCTTATCATTATCATTATCATTCACACAAAATTGTTAGCTCCGACCCCCAGCTCCGTGAGGGGGTCATCTCTGCACACCGAGCCTGCATCATTCCGGGAGGTGAAAAATCTCTTTCTCTTCGGCCACCGCGGGCTGTGTTTCACAGCCCACGGCGGCTCGGGGCTCAGGACAAGCAGTCCCGAGCTCGCATCGTGGGGTGGCTTTTAGGGGGGCGGGTGAAGGTTGGAAAACTCCGCAACAGGAGCTACGGAGTGACCGGAGTTCTCCCTGATATTCTTCCTCAAGCAACAAACATCTAACACGTAACGTTATAATTACATATACTTATCGTACTCGGAACGCTATCAAAAAGTGACAATGAGCTTTTGGACAAGTTTGTACTTATACTGATACTAGTAGACTATTACAAGCAAACACTCTTGGCCTAGCCGCAGATCAATCTAAAACTTCAACTACTGTAATATGTCAGACACGGAGTAAAGTAGTACATGTTCTGCACTAACACACCATGAAAAGATGCCATTTGGGCTATTCCAGCTGGTGTCGTTGAGGCCCCGACTGGAAGCCACAAGCCCACGACTGGAAGCCGCGAGGGGCGTTGGGAAAATGCCCGCCGTCCCCGAATTCCGCTGTCCGTTGGTGCGCGGAACCTCTCGGCCACTCACTGACTACCTGACGTGGCGCGAGATCTTTTGACACGCAAAGGCCATCTAAGACCCAATTAGATAAACTGGCGGAGAAGCCTTTGTGCCCCAAGGACATGGTGGATGGAGATCCTCCCCGTGAATTTCGTGAGGCGTTGTTCCTTTTTCTATCCCGATGAATCTGTGGTATGACTGTTGACTGTTTTCTCTTTCTATGGATCCCCAAAGCAAGATATATGGTTTTATATGGTTCGAGGAGGGTGAGAGGAGGCTTGATTGCTGAAAAGATTGACAATTATTGGTAAAGTGATGGTGAAATCAGGAGTCGAAAGGGGTTGGTTGAACTTATCAATCAATCAGAGGGGTGAATTGAAAATGAAGCTAAAAACATGCTTAAACACAGATTCCCAAGAAACAATGGACCGCAATAGAGGTAAAACAGGGTAAAACAAAGGTAGATCCAAGGATCAACAAACATGGTTCAAAAGTATTGCACCCAAACCAGCTCTTTCTAATTGATTGAATATCAGCCTCTTGTTGACATTTAGGGTACGCAAGCGATACAGCATGCCAAATTTGGTTTCGTGTTCTTTCGAAGGCTTCGCTGTTGTCAGAGCACCATCATTACTCCACGTAACAGCTAAGTGTATTTTTGTGGCCGTTCCTGTGCCGAAATGTTTGACTCATTTGTGGTATGCTGAGGTATGCTTCGGGGTATATGCTTCACGCGGTGCGAAGACTAGTCGCATCTTTAGAGAGTATGCTTCAGGGTATGCCTAAGTCGAACATCCAAACTCATCCAAACTCTACATTCTACATCAACTGGACACGTTCAACTACACGTATACGTGACACATCGTGACACCCATATTAGAGAGCGTGGAACAGGGTTTCAGAGCTTCAGACCTAGACATCCGAACCGAACCGAGTCGTCGTTCAGGCTTCCAGGACTTCCATGACCGAACCCGCACCATTCCCAGGTGATCCCTCCAGCACTTCTCCACCCGCCCGAAGCGTCACCGCGCGCGCGCGGAACGCAGCGCGGAACGCAGCGCGGAACGCAGCGCGCGTGGCTCTCCGCGTGATGTTTCGAGGCACCGGGCACGTCAGGAGCCCGAGGCCACGGTGATGTCTTCCGAGGCGCTTTGGAGGCCCAGCAAAAGCCGATCCATGCCTTGCTTTCGACCACGAACTAGACGAACAACGGACGCGTGAGACACCAACTGACTAAGGGGGCATTTTCCAGGGGCCATAGACAGTCCCTATCGGATGGACGGATCCACCCTCTGAGGTATGGTGATGTGTTCGACACTGTTGATGTAGGTTTGGAGTAAGGGATTGATTGAATGTGAAAGAAATGGAACTCATTCAATCGGCACACCTGCCCTGTCTTCGCCGAACCGCCACACCTGCACCGCTGTCTTCCACTGTTCTCACAAAACAGGTCCCCGCACGATGCTTCTGGCACGCCAACCAACTTAGGGGAGATCCCTCCGCGCTGCCACTACCTCCGCTCTGTGGGCGTGCGCCACGCGGCGGCAGTTCTACGGAAAACCATGGGCAACTGCCGGGCAAGGGCACACAGGTGACTACGCAGGTCCCTGGTGGAGGCAGCATGCATATCATTCTCAAGCCAGCGACATAGGAGTTGTGAAGCGATAGGCAAAAGAAAAAGCTACAAGCATGTCACTAGGGTTGAGCCTATAAATGGGCCCTCTGTCCTCAGCATAAACCAAAACAACAAATCAAAACGCGCACCACACATCGACCGAACCTCTCGGACGTCGCCCGCTGTCGCCTCAGCAGGAACCTCTAGCCGCGCTCCCCACCCCACGCCTGTGTCCACAGCAGAGGCAATGGCAGCCACCACACGCTCTGGGGCATGGGACCTTGGAACTAACAAACGCTCTGTCGCTGAAGGACTAGGCTGGGAACATCTCGTGTTTTTTTCCGGGAGCTCAACCCCCCGACCACATGAGAACATGGCAGCTTTTGACCCGAAACTATGTTTTTTCCCGAGCGAGAGCGAGTCAAAGACTTCTCTCGTGTGTGTGGGGTCTTGCGCCACCTGGGGCGGGCCGTATACGTGGTGGCTGGAGGGCTTCTACCAGAAGTGGGACTCTCCTCTGCAGGAACTGCTCCGGTCCGGGAGCGCCGAGCACCGGGTTTCTCGAATGCGTCACGAGTGGACCACACTGCGAATTCGATGAAAGTGTGGTCAAGGCAACCACACACGCCATCCAATGGCACCAAACCAAGTTGAGGAACTTGAATCACTCAATGTTGATCTTGGATGTTGCTTAAGGATCTGAGAACAATAAGAATACTCACTAACCAGGTGATAAGACACAAAACATCACCAAACACATCTTAGTACCCTCCTGCCAACCCTGGTAGTTCTCAGGAATGGAGCTTTACGACTGTTTGCTGCTCAAAACCCGCCGCATGTCACGCCGCGTCGTCGTTCTCGTTCAAGGCCCGAGGAGCGCCGGCCGCCGGGGGGGCAGGTTTCACTGGTGGCCTTCAGAAGGGCAGGCAGGCAGTGGACGCCAAGTAAACATCTGCCTTCGAAAACCTTCAACATCAGAGAATAAGACCAAGACCCAAGAAAATCCTGGTTTTTGCATCAGATCCTTCATTTGGCATCTAGAGAATAAGACCAGTATTTAGGGGGCACGATCATCTGGCAGCCGCTATTTCATGCTATTTCATGTAACGGTGTGGCATCTTCTGTGCAACCTCCAGCTAGGACCAGGATATTGATATTTGTCTTTTAAATCACAATTCTCCGTTTTTCACCCAATTCCTGACTCGAAGGGTTTTTCCATCTACTATGCTAAATGCCTCATGCAAACCAGCCTCCAAACCTCCGAAATCCTCCGAACCCCGAAGCTCGTGAGCTCCCCATGCGCCTCGGCGGCGGTGTTGGCGTGAGACCTTCCGCCTGGTGGCCACGGTGACGCGAGACGCGTGGAGCCGAATGGGACAGTCCAGGGGCGGAGCCCAAGTCTTGGTGGTTGAGACATCATCCACTGGTTGAGACATATATGCCACCCACTTACCGACCACAAACGCGGTTGCGACCATCTGTAAACGGAAGAACATCAGCAATCCGGGTCATCATTGGGGATGAAGTTGGAACAAACTAGATCTATCCCTGGGAACCACAGCACAGGACCGATCGAAATGGTTCGGTACGACTGGTGCCTCCCGGTCACCATTGACCCCTATAAGCTATGGCAGCAAATCTATGGGCATAAATCAGAGCACCCAAGCCCTCCAATCCTGTCCAATGTGCTACACATCATTTCTGTGTCCGACGTGTTTGACCTCTCAGGTGATGTCACCAGACGCTCCATGTATGCCATATATGCCTACATTGGGGTGGTGCCAGAGGGGTCAATGTATGCCATCTATGCCAGTCCGGAGTCCATGGAGTGTATGGGGTCACCATTTTCCGTTCGCTCCTGCCGTGTTTCGGTTCGCTCCTCCGGAGCTCCTCCGGACCGCTCCGTTTCCCCGTTTCCGCCGCCCGGCTCATCGGCTCCGCTCCGGGGCTCGGGACGCGCAGCTCGGTGGACCTGACGGTAAAGGATCGAGGGAAGGAGATCGACCCGACGGTGAGTGCCACATGGCCATGTGTTGGCGGATTGGTTCATGTTCTAATCGTTTTCTGATTCTGGGGAAGGGAATGATGTTTATTTGCCTTCTGATTCTGGGGAATGATGTGGGTTTTTTGTATCTTTTCCAGGTTGGACAGCAAGTTTTTAGAGATGGAGGATCGGTGGACTCTTGTAGAGTTCTTTTGGACCCCCAAGGAGTGGGGCTATTCATGGACACCCTTGGAAACGTGGTGCTGGTACAGGGTCTTGTTTGGTTGGGGGAGAGAGGTTGTATCCAGGTTGTACCCTGCAGGGGTTTAAATGGTTTTAATATGTTTTAGTTGTTTGTGTTCCTGTTCTGAGGGAAAAGTCATCAGTCAGTGCAATTGGCTGCGAAGGAATGCTTCGCGCCAAGAGGACTTCTCAAAACTAGTCAACTCATGAGTTTTTCAACACAGCTGCCGAGTCGAATCACAGCTGTCTCCTCAACAGCTCAGCTAGCTCATGGTGCCCAGCTGCCAAACGTAGAGCTGTGGCACCATTGTCTGCCCTAGCATTCAATTCAGCGCCAGCTTCCAGCAAAGCTCGCACCACTTCCAAGTGGCCATGATGAGCTGCCAAAAGCAAAGCAGTTGCGCCATCTTTCCGCCTTGTAGCCTCAATGTCACTGCCAGCCTCCAGCAAACTTCTGACCACTTCCAAGTGGCCTTTCAGAGATGCCGCAAGCAAAGCCGTGCCGCCATCTACTGCCTTAGCATTCACTTCAGCGCCAGTTTCCAGCAAAGTTCGCACCACTTGCAAGTGGCCGTGGAAAGCCGCGAAAAGCAAAGCTGTGCTGCCATCTGATGCCTTAGCATTCACTTCAGCGCCAGCTTCCAGCAAAGCTTGCACCACTGCCAAGTGGCCATTCACGGCTGACAAGAGCAAAGCTGTGGCACCATTGTTTGCCTTAGCATTCAATTCAGCGCCAGCTTCCAGCAAGGCTTGCACCACTTTCAAGCGGCCATGCTGAGCTGCCAAAAGTAAAGCAGTTGCGCCATCTTGCCGCCTTGCAGTGTCAATGTCACTGCCAGCCTCAATCAAACTTCTGACCACTTCCAAGTTGCCATGCAAAGATGCTGCAATCAAAGCCGTGTCGCCATCTATTTTAGCATTCACTTCAGCGCCAACTTCAAGTAAAGCTCGCGCCACTTCCAAGTGGCCATTCTGAGCTGCGAAAAGCAAAGCATGTGCGCCATCTTGTGCCTGAGCAGCCCCAGCTTCCAGCAAAGCTTGCACCACTTCCAAGCGGCCGTGGAAAGCTGCGAAAAGCAAAGCTGTGCTGCCATCTGATGCCTTAGCATGCACTTCAGCGCCAGCTTCCAGCAAAGCTCGCACCACTGCCAAGTGACCCTGCACAGCTGACAAGAGCAAAGCTGTGGCACCATTGTCTGCCTTAGCATTCAATTCAGCGCCAGCTTCCAGCAAAGCTCGCACCACTTCCAAGTGGCCATGGTGAGCTGCCAAAAGCAAAGCAGTTGCGCCATCTTGCCGCCTTGTAGCCTCAATGTCACTGCCAGCCTCCAGCAAACCTCTCACCACTTCCAAGTGGCCATTGCAAGCTGCTGAATGCAAAGCCGTTCCTCCCTGCGCGTCTCGTACATTTGGATCTTGTGGGCTATGAAGCATCTGCACAACTTCAACCCAACGATTGTTCGCGCATGCCGAAATAAAGGCTTCGTTGGTGGCGGCATCTGAAGACTGCAAGTCCAACACCAACAACTGTAAATGTTGCACGCCGTTCCATGGGGCTAAAGAATCATTCTCACGCAATTCACTGAGTTCCCGGTTCAAAAGTCTCAGCTGAAACCTTGACACAGCAATCTGAACTGCGAGGAACTCTTTCAGGGCTTTCACCGGTTTATCACTCTGCAGGATAAGACCCAGTTCTTGCTCTCCAAGTTGAGCCACCTGTGTGCCAGACATAGCCACTACCTGCAGCATCATGCCCTGCACCAGCTTTGCGGTGGACTGGATCAAAGAGCAGCTTGAGCCAAAACATGAGGCGAGATCGTTGTGCTTTGCTTGTTTCGCCCAAGGCATATCCCATTGTGGGTTGAGTGACTTGTTTCTGTGGCAATATGTTCACATACTGAGATACAGACTTCTGTCCAAGCAACCCCAGGTCAACTTGTAAAGACAAAAGGTTCTCCAACTTGAACATCAGGAGGTCTCCAGACCCCACCAACCAACAGGAGGTCTCCAGTCCTCCGTTTTCCCGGCGGAACAAAAAACCGGCGGTTTCAGAACTCGAACCCTCTGCTCTGCTCTGTAGCTCTCGGCCTCGGTGCTCTGGAGGCTTGTGACAAGATCTGCAGCAGCTCCTGGCAGATGCATGACGTGCTCGAGCGAGCGAACGGAGCGCGGGGCGGAAAGAGCGTGAACTCTGTCCGCACCAAAAGAGCGGTGAAGTCGTTGTCCTCCTACTAGCACCCGACTCTACTGACATCCGGGAGACCCCGACATGTTGTCAAGACAAAGGGCTGGTGGTGACCGTGCCGCTGGTGGCGCTGGTGGTGCTAGCAATCAATCGGCGGCTGGATTCAGTCACAGCATCCAAAGTTCGAACCCACCAACTTGGGATGCCCCAAACCATCCGGAGTTTTTGGGGTTCCAAAGCAAACGTACATGGATTCACTCCAACCAAAGCTCGGATGTTAGGGGTGAGTAGGACCAGGCTAGTCCGTAGGGCCTAGAAGGGCCTAGGGCCTTCACTTCACCTTCTTCCCCTGTTCTGACCGGACCCCAAGGGTCGCCTCCTGCGAGGCCTCGTTTCGTATCAACCGATCTCGGAAGCTGGCGTTTTCGCCACCACGGAACGCCGGCAGGTAGAGAGAGATGCTCAGATTCTTGCAACATGCTCGTTCTTGAGTATATGGGGTTTGAGCAAACATAGGGGCATCACCAAACTCTACAACCACCAAGAAACCCTACCTCCTTGGTTGATCGCACTGAAGTTTTTCTTGCACCGCCTTGGGGCAGCTTCCAGGATGAAGTTCCGCAAACATGTCAATTAGAACAACCCAGCTAGAACCCTGGTCCGGCGTAGTGTTTGGACCCTGGTCCGGGGGTGGTTAAGGTCTCCTATGGTATCCTGCAAACATGCCGATTTCGGCTCCCTTTCTCGCTGGAACCCAACCTTTCCTCACATGGTACTGACTCCCTCTGCAATATATTTTTTATTCAGTGGGGAAGCCAATCCCCCGACAAATGGTTTGCAGGTGATCCACTGACTTTGTAGTTGGTATCGGCTGACTCATTGACATCCATGGTCGACAGGAATGACAGCGATTTCCGCGACAGCTGCGGTGCCTTTTGTGCTGCACTTTGGACGGAGGGCGACGGATGTCTCAACTGGGGGGCCCAAAAGAAAGGCCAACGACAGGTGGATGAAGAAAATTGAAGAACACTTCACCCAAATATGGTGCTTGATGTGCTTTTATCTTAGATTGAAGCAGGCTCGATATGGGTTAAAGCATGAGTTGGAGAAGCTACCAATCTCTGTGATCCCTTTGAGGCCTGTTGAGACAAACCCATTTTGAGACAGCCCCAGTTGCCATAATCTGCACACTGATTCCTTGCGCACTGGCAGCCAGTGGTATTGTGCTTCCTTATGGCCCAGGGTGAAGCTTGAACCCTATCAGGATACTCCAAACAATCTGGGCACCCCGATCCTCCTTTAGGTACCCCAACAGGAACCCTGCGGGGCTGAGCAGCAAAATCTCGAGCTCGCCAGTGAAATCGCCCAACTCTTGAAATCTCCAGCTGCTTGACGCGGAGGCTTGGGAAATAACTTCCTACTATGTACACAGGTCTGTTGACCATGGAGTCAGGAATTTCGAAGTCAGCAAGGATTACATACTCGATGCTGGTGTCAAACAACTAATTTTGCAGTTCGTTTATACCAGGACCCTCCGACAGGTCACCAATTGAGACCTGTTAGGGTCCAACAACCCTCAACTAACAGCCTGGCCAGGAGGGTGCTGGTAGTTGATTGATTGATGTTGATGGTGTTTTTGTGCAGTTAGATTCTGCTGACTTCGATCCCTAAGAGCTCTGTGATCGCTACAGATTCTGACCCACCCCGACCCAGCACCCAACTCCACTCGCCTAATCAGCTTACGCAGTCGAACAAGAAGGTTTACCTCTTGTCAGCATGTCAGTTTTGACCAAAAAAAAACATGTTTGTTGTCAGGACGTGAGTGAATTGACTCAAACCAGACAAACTGGAACACTCGAACTTCAAGCTTTTCCAAGCAAAAAAACGTGAGTGTCGAATCGTCGAACCAATTCCCTCCTCCATTTCGCTGCAAAGACCGACAGTAGCAGGGCCCATTCCCTCCGAAAGCTTCTCCAGTTCTGGTCATGGAAGAGAGTACATACACTCCCTGAAATCATCATCGGGCCCGTGGATTGGGATGGCATGGCCCCAAAAGGATGTCACCCTGTTCATCCGAGCTCCGCGAGCGAGGTCCAGGTGGTGTTCACTCACTCACTCCGCGGAAGGGCCGGACTGATCGAGTTCAGAGAGATTCAACGTTCCCTTTGTTGCTCGATGAAACTGGATGTTTGTCCATGTGCATTGAGATCTCCATGGTCCATCATGCAACACTGACAAAAGAATCGAAACCAACACGCAGCTGGATGCGATTGAGAGAAGGCACAACATATCTACCCGACTCCTGGCGAGTGGATGTCAGACTTGGCTGCTGTTCGGCTGTCCAAGTGCCAAGCTCTAGCTGTTCACAGGAGCTCTGGATCACAAAAGCCCTCATCCTTGTCACTAGGAGCTTCGCCTGCTGTGTAGCGATGTCTCGACATGTGCAGAGGAAAACAGGCGCTGTCTTGGTTGAGCAAGCATGCAGAACAATCGTGAAGTGTTTGATATACAATTTGGCATTGAAGTCTTGAAGTGATTGATATTTGATGTAACTAATATATACTGTAGAAGTTGACCAAGTGGACATCAAAGAGCAAATCCTTCACCAAGCAATGCCAAGAAGTGTCATTGGGGACCATCTGAGCTTCTCCTGGGGACTCCTGGGATAGCGATTCCTGCCGCCAGTTCGGAAGAGTGGTGTCCAGGGGTTCCACAGGGGTTCCAGGAGTTCGGGTGCCCCGTTGCAACATCTCCACTCAATGGGACTAAAAGCCACTCCTTTGCAACTGCTGGCTGGTATTTCTCCCCAAATCCACAACCGTTCTTTCTTTCGCATCGGGATTTGACAGCTGTATTTGACACAGCTCATGATTGAGACCCAACAGTAGTAGGAGTAGTAGTAGTAGTAGTAGTGGTTGTTGTTGTTGTTGTTGCGCCATTCTTAAAGACCTGTGTCTAGGGCCTCCAACTCATTGGATCAAAACTGCCACTTCAGCCGAAGAGGATGAAATCCGACTTCGTCTTTCAAGAGAGGTTGAGAGACCTGAAGTAGGACCCTGTAATGGTATACACGGGATTGGCTATAAGCCCATACCATGCTGTGGTGGTATACTTTGCTGTTCAACCTGTCTTGATGGTCTGTCACTGACGGACCACGGGCAACCTGACCCCCCCAAGCGGCCCGAGCGTCTTCCGGGAAAAAGATCTGCCGACCCAGGACCCATACATTGTAGTAACTTCATGTTGCTTCATGCGACTTCGATTCACTTGAGATCTTGACCTGGAAACAACATGAAACACGTCTGTCTACTGTAAGCACACGAGGTACTTAATGGAAAGCAACATGGAATCAAGGCTCTGCTAAACCAACATGCAGCATGCAATTCATCGTCCCCGAGTCCAGGCCTGTAGGTTTCAACTCCTGCTTGGCACAAAAACAACCGGCGGAAGTCGGCGGAAGTGCAGGACTTTGATCCTCACCCGAAAACCAGAACTAAAGAACCACTCCATGGATAAACGAAAGGAATCTAGTGAGGCAAAGGAAATGCTTGGCAAAGGAAATGCTTAAAGGAAGCACGCACGGAAATTGAAGCGGAACCCTCCAACAAAAGGCAAATTCTACTTCACCGCATCACCACAGATTTTGTTCTTTTTGAGAACATCTGACCCCTCGCTGCGCCAGGTACAGTAGATTGCTGGCATGTCAACAACACCTGCCAAAAAAAAAACACATCTTCATCAGATTGGCCTGCAACCCCAAAAATGTGGCCCCAACTTGGCCGAATCGCTTTCGTGCGATGCGTTTTTCGGGGTTCAGCAACTCACTGACCGGCACAAGTACGGCGAAAGTGGAATGAGGGAGGCTGGATCCTAAGGGATGTATGTGGAAGGGGCATTGCCTTATTCATCCTTGTTGCCTACTAAGCACCAGTCAGTTTCGTGGGCTGAAACCAAAAACTGCCGTGGGCTTCATGTACCTCGCTGTCACAAACGAATGACGCGACGCGGCCTGAAGATCTTGGGATGCCAAAAGGGTAAGCCGATACAACTAATAGACTTTAAACCACTCATGTAGACTCTGTATTGCAACACCTCGATCTCTATATGTCTTTTAATCAAGAGTCTACAATTATAGGTCCCTTAGTCATTCCGAAGCTGACCCATCACAAATTCACCATGGTCTGCCCCCCTTTCGCTTAACATCAGCCTGCAAACTTGTGATTTCCATGCAACTGTGCCAGAAACAAAAAGAACGCGCAATAAAAACACCATGTCACAGGACCTCCGTCACCGGAACGCGGAACGCGGGGCCCACCTCCTGGGGGCCCTGCACAAGCTCAGCGTCCCCTGAAACGCGGAGAGAGCAGGAAAGGCGAAGGGTGACACCAAGCGTCAACGTGGGTGACACAACGTTCGGGACCCGAACACCAGCCAACATCACCAAAGCACGTTGGTTCCAGAAAAAAAACAGAACACATACTCAGAAGATCCGAGTCTTCTTGAGCAAAGCCGGGTTTTCTAGGATATATTGAAGGTCTATCAAATGCCCAAAGCTTCACCCAAACCCTATAAAATTGTGGAGTATCAATGGAAAGTCCTCGGGTGCGTACAAGTAGCTTGTGAAACCCAGTTATACCGTCTGGTACCGAGACGGTGGTCATCGACGCTCTCAGGGTGCCCAGGGGTTCTCTCATTGAATGTGTCATCTCACGTCGATTGGGGACGGCCCCACGGCATATGAGAGTGAACAAAGCAAGCAAAGCACAAGGTGTTGTTGATGTGGAGGTATTCGACATGACCGATTTAGGAGCTTTCACAAACTGCTGTTACTGGTCATGATTCAAGGTTACAAACTAGCTAGAGATTTGTGGATCACTGTGCAAGATTCAACAGCCAAAGGTAACTGAGGACCCGACAAACTACTCCACAACAAACCTCCTCCTATAGCATCAATGACGAATGGACGTTTGGTTTGGGGACAAAGCAGCTGGAAGCTCAGCACATATGTGTTTCTCAATTTTCAACCAGCCCCTGCGCATGAACCATAGGTTTCCAACACACAAAGTGTGGACCCTAAGACATTGGTCAAGTGTTTCAGAGACCTTGACTTGTGAGACCTTGTAAAGAACAAACAACAAGAACAACAACAACAACGACGACGACAACAACAACAACACCTACAACCTAAGGCAATGAAGTCATGTCAAAGTCATGAATCTGATAGGCTGTCGTAGTGCATCGCCGACGGATCACGTAGTATACCAACTACCTACCGCCGCGTTGCTCGCTCCCATTCCCTGGGTCAGACCACCTGTTCCACTGGGTGGGCGACTTGGAACCTCCATGTGGCTCGTCCCTCCGGGCTGCGGCGCCTGCGTCTCCGGCGTCCACGAAGTCCGAGGAATCCCCGAGAGAGGCCGCGGCCACCTGGAGGCAGTGGAGGCGGCGATCGACAGCCCAAAATCTCGCAGGCACAGCTGGGAGATGGAGGATAAGTAGATGTACGTATATAGGGTAAGTCCGTGTTTCTGGATGTTTCTTTTTGGACTGAGAGTGGTTTGCATGAGGTTTCGAGGTCTGAGACGGTGAGTTAACCGACAGGAACGGGGCGCTCGGAGGCTTCGGCTTAGGTGTAGAACCTGACAACCTTGATATAGCAAGTTATAGCAAGTTCTTGGTCGGGTTGAAGGTTGTTGTGACATGATCTCTTCATTCTTGAAGATCAAGTGATACAGTGATACTTGTGAAACAGCTGGTTTCTGCTTGCTTCAGATGTTGGGGGTTGCGGCCCCAGGCCCTCGGGGAACAGGAGCCACCCCTTCCATCAACCTGCCTTTGGCTCTGCAGTTTCCATCTCTTTGCGCGGCTCTGCCTGGCTTCTGCAGAAGTCAGAGGTGCCAAAAGACTCGAAAGTAGAAGCAAGTGCAATAATACTGTCAGGAAGATTCCCTAACATTCCTGTATGGTACAAAAGAATACAATAATATATGTGCCTACATTGACCCCTTTTCAACCACCCCCATCGATACAAATCTACCATACATGGAGTGTCTGGGTTCTAACCCATGGTTCTCTGTTTTGGCTGCTATCCCACTGTCACTGACTCCCCGTCATGATGAGTTTGCCCATAACTTATAACAATGTGCACACAGGCATACATAACTTTACGTTTCGCCAAGGAACTGCCAACCACACCACAAAGGTCTAGGATGGGCTTACTTTAGATGCTTTCTGTTGCTGCAGCAAACGGCCATAGGGATGCTGGTTCTTCGAGCCTTTGACTTTGACTGTCCAATATATAATAACAACATCTTTTGAAACGCTCTTGTCAGGACCATGACTCCAAAGAACTCCCTTATGTTGTTTTCTTTTCCCCGTGGTCGACGACTGGCGGTAGAACGTTCATGAGCCGCCCAAAAAAAGAAAACAAATCACCCAGCACTGACTGTTGTTTCATGAGCCGCCCCAAACAACAAACAAAAATAGCACTTTGAGGAGACTTGTGACGTTCTTTTTTCCCTGACAAGCCAAGCCGCGTCGAGCACGGTCTCGAGCGTCTCCAGCGGCTCGCGTTTTTGGGGGTCCTCAGAAGGCCCCACCGTGCACCGCCGGCCCCACCGTGCACAGCAGAGGCTGGGTGGAGGCCACTCTGAGCTGAAAGGAGGCGATGAGAATTGGTGTCAATTCTGGAAATGTAAGAATCCGGGCCCTCAAACAGATAGGGTTTTGAGGGCCCGGACCCCTGCTATGGAGGGTCCGACCCCTGCCATGGAGAGCCCAAGGATTGGACCCATCTCTTCGGGGGCCTCTGTTTTGGGGTAGTCCTAGCATCCTAGTTGGACTCGCCTGATTCATGTTTCGGACAGCGATTTCTGTCCACCAATGCTTCATTCAGTTTGCTGAGATCAAATTGAAGCAACAACAATGACTTCAACTTAATTAGATCCTTGTTCCAAGAGAAAAAAACAAACTTGCACAACCTGTGGCAAAAACATCATCGGCTCTGGCTCGAACAAGCACACTAACAGCGCTAACAGGTCGAATGTCATACGCGCGAAAAAACACGAGCGAGCCTCGAGAACAAGGCCCTCTAACAAGAATGGATCTTCTGCTCCTGGCGATGCCAAACAGGGGAACTTTCACTTTGAAGGTCGCCCCCACTCGAGTAGCACGTCCAGACGTCAGGGGACGTCCAGCCTCCGTGGGGTCCGTGGGGTCCGTGGTGGGGTAGAATGCTGGGCACCTGGGCCGCTAGGATGTTGGAACCCTGAAGAGGAAGGCTACCCGGCTACCCCTGTTGGTCCCGCCTTGGCCAAATGGGTGTTGATCAAAATAAAGGTATCTGAGGCAGCTACAATCGCCGATCAACCGCGAATCAATCGCGACCCCAACGGTGTCAATCGCGGGAGAGAGTGCTCTCGTATGCAACACTATTTCACGCAAAGAATCGTCAGTCCAAACATTGCTACATATCACAGCATTTAGAGATATGGCGTGAGCCTACACAGGCGGGTTTAACAATCGCGGCACAATCGCGAACCAATCGCGGATTTTGTCGACATTTTTTGTGAGAATTGAATTGATCTGGGCTGGTAGACTTTGAACATTGTTGTTCTGATTCTTCTTTGCTATATTGGCTATCACTATTGAACACAGTGTCTAGGCAAACTCGAATACAGTGTAAGGCTGAACTGTAACATGATTATCATGCCATATAATACTTATTTCTCCCCTTACAATGGTCGATTCTGATACAACAAGTTCAACAAATGTTTGTCTCAATCGCGAACCAATCGCCGATCAACCGCGATGCAGGGTTTTACAATCGCAGATGCTGAGATACACATGCCCTTTCATAATTCTTAGATTCGCATTTACGATCGGCTCCCAAATGTTCATCCTCAAACGTCGTCCGTGAGTCATGGGCCTATCCAGTGGATGATGACGGGGCCCTGGTTGCAGGGCTTGTTCAACAATAAGTGATCCTCGTTTACCGACTGTTAATTACTGCAATATCATGAAAGAAACCCCTATCCCCCCCAAAAAATCTCTTCTGTGAGAAGGTGCTTGGACCCTCCAAACCTAAATCACTGTGTCTCCAATCACCTTAGAGGCTATGCGGATCCCTCTGGGGTATCTGTTTCGCCTTGGAGACACCGTATCCTTATGGGGCCCACCCAGGTGTCAGGAAACGAGCGCCTGTGCTTGGAAGCCGCTCCGCGCCACCTGTCGGACGGTCGAACTTCGGAATGAGGACACTGTACACTGTAAACAGTGTGGAAACCAGCGCGGAAAGTGGATATGGATGGATATGGTTTGCATGAACAGTGAGTGGCTGGCTATGTGGGTGGCGATGTATGCACAATGTCTGCACACAAGGAGGGCGTGATTGTTCCTGCCACTGCTTCATCCATCCTGTTCATTCTCAAATCCTGCACCACCTCACAGTGACAGAAGCTGCCTCCTTTCGGCCTTCACTGTTCCCAAAGTCTTGTCAACTCCCAAAACGTGTCTTTGTCTTTTCAAGGCGAGGGAGCGGGGAGAAGGGAGCTCCCAAAGTACCGACTCAACCTGCACTGAATTGGGGAGCAAGTCTTTGAGTTGATCCTTTTGACACATGTTCAACTCAACCCTCCAACAGCTCACAAAACCTTTCCCCCCCATCTGCCCATCTGCCCAGGTCTCTTCCCCCTTCCACCGTTGAAGATCTGGCCTGATCTGGCCCGTGCAGCCAGGCCATTGAAGAGGTTTTTCAAGCCTCGGATCCCAACAGCCCGGCCTTTTCCCAGCACCCGACGACAAACAGACAGGTCTCCGAGCTGGTGATTGAAAATACCCGCATATTTACATATTATTGGGGTGGTTTTTCAAAGGGGTCAATTGATCGGCAAATAGATCAGTTTCCATGGGTCGTGTCTGGGATACACACTTCCAAATAGGACAGACCTCTGGATGTCGGGTGCTGTGTCGGATTCCTGGTGGATCCACCCATCGGAACCATTGGATGAGACTGCGGGCAATGACATGGGGTGAGACTCAACAGGTAGACTGGTCTATTTCCCGAACCTTCCAGAAATTCGCACTAATATAATTAGGTTTTCATGTAGGTGTTACCTATTTATTTGACCTACATACCCACATGGGCGAAGAATACATCCGATTGACACCGCTCACACCCGAACCACGTTGAGCTGTGATATCGCTTGCTTACTCACAGAATTCAGGATTCACCTGGACGGAAGTCCAAATCACCCTAATACACAAAGCCAGGGGGAGCGGTCGAAGAGGTCCCGGCAACTAATGGAAGAGGTCCAGGCAAGGGGATCATGTCACAGCGCGTTTAGGCTGCTTTTCTTCACTGGGATGCATTTTCGGTCAGCTGCCACTTGTGGAGAGCATACCAAGAAAACATCCGAAAACTGGTAGAAGCGCAAGAAGTGCTGGAGAGATAAGGGGCGGCAGGGGGGTTGCAGAGATGTGCACATTCTACGAGACCAAGGGGGGAAACCTTCAATAACATGTCAGTCTTATAAACAAATGAGATCAAATGAGTCTATAAAGCTAGCGGCTTGCCATGGCAGTCACACTCGCCCGTGCATGAAACACCTAACTGCCTCCCAGCGACCGCTGGTGTCCCATCCAAAGGCTTCCCGTTCCTGGCACACGACTTTCACATCTGCTGCACCGGGTGGCCACGCACGACCGCACGAGGAGCCGCACCGTTCCGAGGTTCGACCGAGTCAGACACCGCAAGAGTTGAGTCACAAAGCGACTGAAGTCCCAGGAACCGAAGGGTTTTCTCTTTGGACCGCCCAAACCACCGGTCGGGACGGAGCCCAAACGGACGGCGCAGCTGCTACAGATCAAAGAAAAAGACCGGGTAGCGGAAGCTCCAATCTGGCCATTCTGCCCAAACTCCTTCTTAATTTCGAATATAGCAAAACTCATGCCAGCCAACTATAGCATACTCTTGCAGCTGATTTCCTCCACCATTTCTTCACTCATTCATTCTGTGCACCGCCATGAGACAAACCAAAACCTCTTCTGAAGTGATTTGGAGCGTCCCACGAGGTTGTCAATGACCTTCCGAACCCCATGGCCCCTACCGTTGGCCCGGCGCCTGGGGAGACTCTTCCAAACCAAAGAGGAAGGACTCATGATGGCCACGCTCCTCCACGACCTGGGCTTTTTCGGCGCTTTCGCCTCATTTTCGGCTCGTTTTCGTGCAGATTGCTCAGCAGTTCGGTTGGACCGTCGCTGTGAATCTCCTCCCAAACACCCTTCGACCTGCAGGCAGTTCGAGACCCACATGTGTGCCACATGTGTGAGAAGATGGGCGGTCGAGACCTGCCGGTTCCGATCTTCAGATCGGTTTGAGGTGCTTTTGGCTCAGGATGAACATACGAAGTCTTGGACCAAAGACCAAGACCTGGGCTGGGCTGATGCAACTCCTGAGATGTGAGGGATAAATCACTTGCTCACGATGTTTTCGGGATGCATCTTGCAGTCTCGACCCGACTTTCGGTGAATGAACAACATTAGAGCCATGCTCAGCAAATCCCAAACACTGCATGGGACAGGCATATTTATACATATTTGTACTATACATTGGGGTGGTTGAAAAGGGGTCAATGGGGTGGCAGTCCTCTACCAGTCCGATGGAGTGTTTTGGTATATAAATGATGGCATCTCTTCCAGTTTGGACCGTGACGTCTTCTCCGTCTTCACCGCTTGGGAAATGGCGTTTGAATGACTCAAAGACCCAGAACGAATTCTTATAGAATGACATGGAACAATGGGCCCTTAAAACAACTGACCTGTAGATATCGAAAGAGGGTTGAAACACCTTCCGTTTTGATTCCCCTGAGAGCCCAGTCCTCCCAGCTATCTTTCTCCATCTCCTCTGGCAAGCCAAGCGCCTGGCAGACCATGCCATGCAAAACTCAAGTAGCAACATAGACTCAACATGAATGAGACCTCTATTCTAGGGAGAGCTCCCAGACCCGGTTCGTGTCGATTCTTTTCGAGGTGCGGGATGCGGGTGCCTCTGTGACCTGCCCGCAGGTCCCATGGCCGACACGGCCGACACAGCCGTGTGCTTGCCTCTAAAGTGATCAAGGCCTCTCTGCAAGACTCCAAGGAGTCCCTGCGCGCAGCGGTTCTCAGGTCCATCCATGCGGTTCGCGGTTGACAAGGCTGGAAGAACACGAGTCACGAGTCTCGAAAAAACATGGATGACGGATACAAACCTCAGCAACTCGGATGTCGGCCAAAGACGGCCATTCTTCTGGGTCCCTTTTCTCAAATGTTCTCCATATTTTCATGATTTGACTCTTGTTCTCACAACCGCTGAACATCATCAAGTAGGGATTTGTAGGACGGCCAGGGCCCGTCCCGAATCTCCTTTTTGGTTTTCGACCGTGTATCCCAAACAGAGCGATTCGCTGAGTGGTGAATTTGGTCCACCTATCCGACCAACGTCAGTAAGGAACTGTATCAAAATGAAGAGCATCCCAAATGCCGGTGGTGTGCAGCTCTGGCAGACTGGGGGGTTCGGGATAAATAGGAACAACCTGCTTTCTTTGCAGTCTCACCACAACCAACTACTTTCAGGCATGGTTTTTGCGACTTCGGCTTTGTCCATGAATAGAGGTGTGCGGTCCACCAACTCCCGGCCTGATCTCCGCCACCAGTGGACCTGGTTCCGAGGCTCAAGGCGGTTCCGAGGCGCTTCCGGCTGGGGGGGAGACCATTCACTTCCGGTTGAAAAAACAGAACTCATGAGTTTTCAGCTCAATGTTTGAGGCACAAATGGGCACGACTTCAGTCCATTGGATCCCATGGAATGTCAACCCATGGCCGAAGTCTCCGGCTCCGCTCCATCAAAACAGCAGCCGAAACTGGGCGCCCCTGGCCCAAAGATTGCTCACCTCCAGCTGGTGGAGGCGAGCCGTGGAATTTGGGGCGAGGAGGGCGCGATGGTTGACGGTGAAAACCGAAACTTGAGAGGAGGGAGACACGAAAGGTAGGACAGCGGGAAGAGAAGAGAACGCGAGAGGCAGGAACAAAAATGCAATGTTCGACATTGTGATTTATCCCCTCGGAGGCGACCTGTCGTAAATATATGTTCATATATGCACTCTAAATGTTCAAACATATGCTCTCGAAATGTTCTGAGGAAAACAAACTTGCCCCATGGCTCAGATCATCGGTGAGCATTGAATCGGAGCATCATAGGATTTGAACTATCCTGAAACCATAAGAGGCTCACGAAGACGTTCCCCAGGAGAGAATTGACGTGCTTCACAAAACAAACTCTAGGTATGTATCCCCTCAGGGAACACCTTTCGTGATTATGCATTCTTTCTGAATGTTCAAGAGGTTCAACTATCCTGAAATCATGAGAGGCTCACGAAGACGTTCTCCAGGAGAGAATTGAACTGAGAGGAGGGGGGGGTCCTGTATTGAAAAATCAATTCCAAGGGGGCGGGAGGGGGGGGTCTGTATTGAAAAATCAATTCGAGGGGGGGGGGGGGGGGGGGGGTTTGAATTGAATGATCTATTATTAGACCCGGACGTCCCAACACTTGCTTCGCAAGACAAACTCAAGGTATCCCCTAAAAGGCTACCTTTCGTGACAAAACATGTGAATCGCGGGTCACAGTGATTCTTGTCCCAAGGGCTCTGAGTAGGAGCTGAGTTGTTTTTTACGGATAAACCTGATACACCTTGATCATCCAACAATATCCTTGCCAACGCACGAGATCTTTGAGCACTGAATTTTGTTTGTTTTGCAGCAACTCTTGATGCAACCACTTTTTGGCAAAAAATAGTTCCAATCAACTCAGTCTCACATCAAGTGTGAGTCGCTGGATCTACCCGTGCAAGCTACTCCCTATAACCAACCCCTGCTGCCTTTCGCATCTCTCAAGCCTAACGCGGCATCGTCAGCCATTCCGGCACTCGGGTCTCAGGCCCACGCATCCGGCATCGTCGGCCAGAGCTGCATCCTCCTGGAGCAAGATACAATGGCCAATGGGTACACCGCTTGAACTCCAACAGCCACAGCATCAACCTCAACGCCTATACCTCAACTTCCACCGCGAACACAACCGCCGCCACACAACAGTCGATCGACCGCACCCTCCTGGCCAACCCGACGCTTAAGAGAGTGGTGTCTGCCCCAGCCGCCGACCACGCAGCAGACCCACCGCCAGACCATGGGTTGAGGTTCCCAACAACCTGTTTAACACGATGGAACCCACGAACCCGAATGCAAACACGTTCGAAAAACTACATATGTCCAAATGACACTCTTGTAGGACACTCTTGTGGGACACTCTTGTGGGACACTCTTGTGGGTCACTCTTGCAGGAAACTCTTGTGGGACACTCTTGTGGGACACTCTTGTAGGACACTCTTGTGGGACACTCTTGTAGGACACTCTTGCGTTACACTCTTGTGGGACAGTCTTGTGGGTCACTCTTGTAGGAAGCTCTTGCGGGGCACTGTTTTGGGACGCTCTTGCAGGACACTCTTGTGGTACTTGGTGGATGGTTCTTTGCTATGGAACTTATAAATTAGTTACAACAGTTACACCACATAGAAAACTTGTACGTTATCTTACAAAACTTACAATCTGAACAAATTGAAATTGTTTTACTAGATTGAAAAAGTTATTTATATGTAACTCATGAGTTTTGTAAGTGAAAACGCACTTTCAAAATGTTATGTTTGTAGGTTTGCAGTTTTTGTTATCTTTTTTCTGTTTTACGTTTGTTTTTGTGTGTCACTGCCCTGGTATCTTTAGCTAAAAAACACACTTCTATACACGTGAGCGGCTCATGCAGCCGCCAAACACTTCCAAACCCGTACTGCCAACATGTGTTTTGTTACAAAAGAAGACGGCTCATGGAGCCGCCAAAATGTTCTACTGACGCCAGGATCATGGCGGCCGCTTGGCCTCGAGCGCCAGATTGTATGCAAGCTCCTTCACCTTCTGTTCCTCCTCACGCTTCTGCTGCTCCTGTTGCATCATGGCGATGCAAATGACCATAGGGACAAAAATTTCTGTGTGCAACCTGATCTGAAAATTGCTAGATGCAAATACTTTGGCGTTAGAAAATATACCAAAACCTTGGAGAAATGTGCCAAGTCATTTGGGGTTGTCTGTGGTTATTGAAAAAACTGCACACGGATTTATACATGATTTATACATAATTTATACATAATTTGTACACTATTTAGAGATCCTTATACATGTATAAATTGATTTTTTCAACTTATACATGTATAAATTGTGTTTTTTTCAACTTATACACGTATAGATTGATATCCATAAACTTATACACGTATAGACTGTTTTTTCAGTTTCTACACGTAAAAATTAGTGTCATTGTTGAAATTTTATACACATATAAACTGATTTTTCAATTTATAGATTTTTTTAATAAACTGTTGATATATTTTCAACTTATACATCTTTAATATAACTTATGCATTTAATGAAGCTATCGTGATGATTGCAAATCACAACTGATGCATTTGTTGTGTATATTTACACGTTACCTTTTGCTACGACCCTTCAAGACAGCAAACAATGTTGAAGCTATCGTGATAAATGCACTGAACCATTAATACACAAGTTTCTTTAAATTTGCACATTACCTTTTGCTACGATGGTGGCTCATCGAGTGGAACCATATCACAAACATTGCAAAGTTTTTTAGTTGCATGATGGTTGCAAAGAAGTTTATAGAAAGTTTTTGTTTTGCCATCTGAAAACCTAAATGGGACAAGTACTTACTGGACATGAATTTTTCCCAATATACAGTCATGGGGTAGTGTAGCTGCCCATTGGGCCGCCAGCCATATGTATGTACATGCGCCTCTGTGTGCCGGAGGCGGCCCATTGGGCCGCCAACCTCATGCCTCTGTGTAGCTAGTGGCGGCCCATTGGGCCGCCCAGGTCATACCTTTGAAACACTTTGAAAAAGTATAAATTTGCGACATCGAAAACGTTAGGTTTTCTAAGTTGTTTCTAAGTTATTTCCAATGTTTTGGCAAGAAAAAACCTTATACTAGATACGAACTTGCCTTAGTTTTGTAAAGTTTTGTAAATAAACTATAAGTTGCATAAATTAGCTTAAGAACTTGCAGCACTTGTCGAACTTAAAAGTGGGTTATAAGTATGTTACAACTAGTTTATAGATAATTTATAAGTTCCATAACCAAGAACCATCCACCAAGTAGTGCCAGCATTGGCTTGGCATCTGACATGTGCTGGTGAACTGCTAGCATCAAATCATTTGGATCATGGCTCTTCAATGCGTTGAGCGACTTGTGGGACATTGTGTTCTCCGCCGCTGTCAGTGCCTTTCTCCACAAGATTCTAAACCCGTGTGGAGCTTTTGGGCCGGTCAGTCCTTTGAACGTGAGATTGATGTCGCCAATCCAACCCAACCAGTCAGCCGAGGTATCCTGTTTGTATGCTTCCTTGAAGACTGTACCTTGTTCGAACTCAGCTTGGTCCAGAAATGTCTGATAGACAGAGATCAGCTCAGCAGCCGAGTCAAAAGTCTGGGTGGAGCACCGAGTGACTGCGTGACCGCCTACCCCGTCAAGAGGCCCATGTGTGTGCCCCTTGACGGGGAAGGCAACGTATATTGATTCAAAAGCTCTCATCAAACACAACTTGATCCAGAAGCAGAGGATCTGAAATCGCAAATTGGAATCCCCAACAATGAGCCCAAATCATCTGGCAGTGCATCGCAGGCCTGATAACCTCTTCAAAGCTCCTGGAGTGGACCAATGTTCTTGGGACCTTATGTTTGGCCTGGTCAAGGCCGTCAGATCTCAGTAGCAATACTGATTGCTCCATCAACTGTAAACTTGATCTGCCTGCAAGGAGCATTTGACGGGTTTGCACACACTGAGCATGCCATGCACCATCAGCAGCCCGGTCTCTCCAATTCAGCAGTAGATGAGATGAGTACTCTTCCAGCAGCTGGTGGCGGACTGCCAGGTGGAGTTGTTTCTTGAGTTCCCTCTTGTAATGCAGGCACGAATCGCAAAGCCCATGCTGCCCCGCACTTTTGCGGAATGACAGCCACGGCCGTGCTGCTTTCAGGGCTCGCAAGAATGTAGTAAAACTTGGTGCTTGGAAGTTGGCCTGTGCACACCAAAGCCTGAGCATCTCAAACATGTTGATTGGCTTCATCACTCCAAGCCAACGGCGGGGGGCCTGGAGCTACGCCAGGCCCAGTCAAACTTTGGTGAAAAGGCGCCCTCATGACCAGGGACTGGATTGCCATCGCACTCAAAGCTCTGTCATCTATCTCATCCAGTTCATCTTTCGATAATTGACTGTCATCTGGCGACTCATCACTGTCTCCTGCCACCAGCTTTTGCAGACGATCAGCAGTTGACCCAATCATCAAAGACCCGTCTTTCAAAGCACCTTGAACCTGATCTCATCCCGGAAATATGTGGTATAACTTAACTAGAGCTCCTGTCTGTCAATATTTGATTAATAATGTGTTTGTCTTAAAACTTAAAACAGTGAAACATATCATTAATAGGCGAAGGGTCGATGAGGTTTGCTCATATTACTAATCCAGCAAAGCACCATGAACCAAATGCAACAGAATCGTTCATTCATGTGCAGACGAATTACTATATATATCGAATTTGGAATACCCGCTTGAGAATTTATCAGATCCCGATTTTCTACATGCATATTCGTCTAAACCGTCTAAGCTTAGACGTCCCATGTAAAAATATAGTGAGAATGGTGGTTCCTTTGGTCTTTTTTGCAAAACAGGACTTCGGTGGGAACTAGACAAGATATGATGAATTGTGTGACTACTTTAGATTTGAAGAACGCCAAACAAGTTCCTATAATATCCTATAATTACATTTCAAACACAGTGCTTGAAACATAGACGTTTCAAAACTTTTCTGTACTAAGAAAACTCCTTTGCTTGATGAGTACTGACTACTTACATGGACAGGCAATCAAGTTTTTGGACCCTTCCGCTAGAAAACAGTTATGAACGTAAAGCGTTGCATCAATACAGGTACAACTCTATATATCATAATTGTAATATATCTATATCTATATATATATATATTCAACTGTTGAAAGAAGGAACATGACGTTTCAGTTTGGCCTTTTATGTCCAATTCAGATCAAAATTTTCAGATTATTTGGGGCCCGCGCTTGATCAAGGGGGGGGTTATTATTAGGAGGCGGAGACACTACAAAGAAGCTCTCAGTGAAGTATGCTTCGAACCATACTTGCCAAACGGTATAGGCATAGGTAAGCTTAGTGTGGCCGGAGACCAGCAACGAAGCCGATCTGCAGGATGCGGAGCGTGTGGAGGCTGGCCGCAAGTCGCTGGTGGAGCCTACAGGATGCACGGTGCATCGAACCAGTTGGCAAGTTGCTCGGAAATCTCTCTGAAGATGGAGATTTTGCCAATGATCATATCATATAATATCATCGATGTGGAAAATCAGCAGCTATGGACAAGGGTTGTTGACTCAGACGCGATGATCATGTTCATGATGTCCGAGTCTGTGGCAGAAGTGCGCGGTTCTTTCACCATGATCTCAACCAAGGTCTTCATTATATATTCAGCAGTGGTGTGAAGCCATAGGGCAACCACCCGGCCTGAACCGCAATATAATGCCAGAGTATATGTAAGATAGAATGCCAGAATGTATGCCAGATAGAATGCCAGCATATAGGCTCGCCAGCTGCTGTGGCCTCCTCGTCAGCTTCATGCAATTGCTCCTCCAATGCTGAGAAGCTGCTTACGGTCGCAATGGGTAATGATGCTTCAGCTGCTTCTTTGGCTTTGCCCGCTTCCTTGGCTTCACGGGCTTCACACGACCAAGCCACGGCAGCACGGGCGCCTCCCTGCCTTTTCGTTGCTGGACCGCTCGCAGCATGACCTATTTCATCTTCTCATCAAAAACAAAAGGTGTCTTCAACAAATTATTGCAGCCCCGGTCCATAGTGTTCAGTTCAGTGAGGATCTTGTGGGTTCAACGCATCCTGAGCAAAACTATAGCTAAGGTAAAAAAAAACAATAATAAGTAATCCAGGAATCCATAATAATCCACCACCATGTTCTCAGTTGCATGAGCATGCCCCGTCTGGTGGACTTAGCTTTGAGAATGCATACCCACTCAGGCCCTGTTCATCTGACCCCAAACAGGACACCCCAACAGGCGCGCCGCGCGCTGGTCGTGCGCGTGGCAGTCCAGGCGTGACAAGATCTGTTCCGAGCTCAAAGACTTGAGCTCCTTGATGCTCTGCCGCAACTCCTTGCTCTGCGACGTCCATCATCGTCTCTCGTGGGGTCGTGACGTGCGGAAAGAAGAACATCAAAAGGAGCCGGGGGTGGCGGGGAGTCGCGTTTTGCAACGCGGGGAGGTCAAAAAGGAAAAAAACGGCCGACATGCTGTGGGCCCCCACATCCAAAATGCTGAACAGGGTGATGCTTCAAGCGCTCCACGGTTTCATGGTTCTTCCAATTCCACACAAACGCTCGTGTTTTGGGTCCCAAACCTAGGCATTTCAGACCCCAAACCCCTTCGTACCATATTTTGAGGGAGGGCCCAGATCCAATATCGTCAAACGCTGCCTCCACCATTGATGTTTTTTTGGGCTATTTTTTGAGAGTCGACCGTAATCTCTTTTCGCCAAAGTCCTTTCCTTGGTTTTAGAAGATCCTCGAAGGGTGGCGAATGAACAGGGTACTCTACAAGCAAAACGGTCTCCTCCACGGCAAAGTTGAGAGGATCTAGAAGAAGGGCAAAAAAAAAGTGTTCCATGGATCTGATAGAACCCCGTCGACATGAACGCGCTTCCCTGAAGAACCTGGGTTGTGCTGGCACGATTGGATCAGCTCGCGACAGCGACAGGGTTGTTCTTGGATTGGAATCGGTTCTGAGCAGTACATGAGAAGCCTCTCACGGCGTTTCTTTGGATCCGGGATGCTCGATTCTGGACGTGACCTGGGAACAGGACACTTGCCTTGCCGATGTGACACAATTGAAGATGTGACTAATGTTACTAAGTGAAAGGTCCGTATATATCACCATATATCACCTGCAAGTTTGTGATAGACTGACACACACGCGAAAGGACAACACTTCAGACAGAACGTGCACCTGGACTAAATAGGGCAGAACAAACATGAACGGTCCTCATCTTCTTCTTCGCGTTTGGAATTCACCACCGACGTATGGACCGCCCCTGAAGAATCACCGCAGTGCACTGCACCACGGACCGACCGTTCTCGGGGACCGTCTTCTTGGGCCCAACGGGTCAGACCGTCTTGGGCCACCGGTGCTTTGGGTCGGACGAATTCCAACAGAACCGAGAACAAGTTGGCGTCAGGGCATGCATCCCAAACTGACAATGGAACAAGTTGGTCTTTGACAATGGAACATATTTTAACACAATTGTAATATATATATATATATATTATAATCAAAGGGAAGCCATTAAATCCACTCTTGAACATATTATAGGCTATAATCAACGCTTTGACAATATTATAAAACAATATCATTAATCAATTTTACATCTCCTCGGTGCCCCGTTAGTACTTCCAACCCAGACATCCTGAAGATGAGCTTGTTCTCGACTGTCCTGGACCATTGGTCTCCCCAACACTGCTGTGGAAAAAGGCGGGTCAGAAAGAAGAACTACCAGTAGAACTCCACGTTTTTCAGGATGTCTTTGGAGGCTAAACAAGATCATGGTGTTGCCACACATGAGGATTTCCAACTGAGGTATACTTAGGTCATTAATTAGGTCGAGATTCGGGGAAAAGCACTGGACTGTTTGTTGTGATGTTCTGATATCCTGAAACACACATGAAAACACCATGAAACATCCAGTCCTGCTCGCTGTTCTCAGCGTCCTCAGCTCCCTTCCGGGGCGATTCAGCTTCCTCCTTGGGCGACCCACCTGGTCACGTCTTCGATGGCCAAGGAAGGCATGTGGACGGCATGTTCGAACGAAGCTAAACACGATGTAAACGTTCGGATCATTCGGTTGAAGATGGGTTTAACTCATGTCAACTCCAACACAATCCCATGCGAAGTGGTTCTTGTTCCTGGGAGTGGCGCGATATATTAACAGAAGCTTTCCATCATGGTCTTACCGCTACCCGTCTGGGACTTCGCCTGCAAAACGCTCACATTCTCAGCCCTGCAAAACGCGCCTTGCTTTGCTGCAAAGGCTTGTGCCAAGGGGAGCGCCTCTTTCGCGACCTGGCCCGATGAACGAACATCGTCTTGGGATTCTCCGAGCACTGCCTGCAATGCTGGCTGGGGCTGCTCCCAAAGAAGGATCTCATGGATGACACCTCAGGAACTCACTTCCGTGCCTACACCACGGCGTTTCATTCCCAATGATTGTGGCCGTAGGCCGTGTTTTGGTTTGCATTGGGCCGCATCCAAGCGAAGTTTGGCGAATGCGCAGCAGGAGCATCACTCGGGCGCAAGATAGCTGGTTGACGGTTCACTCCGCTTTCTTGGAATTTGGTTGGAGCACACTCACCCAGAAGCTGCACTTCAGGTGTACAGTTGCTCCAACATGCTGCTTACCACGGTAATACACGGCGATATATCACATCGTTGTTGTCCCAAACAGCTGCCGGCCGGCGGGTCTGATTCCTTTCCAATTTGGATGATCCAACCTAGTTGGCACATCAGTTCAAATACTTGAAGCTTGTTGGCTTGGGTCATTGTTGATAGATGACGACTTGGCACTAGTGTACAACCTACTGATCGATCCCTTTTCTGCCTTTTCTCCACACTGTTTCATCTCTTTCTCGGCAGCGTGACATCGTTTCCGCCTTCTACTCTTGCTAGTATTCATCAAAAGTCCAAGTGTTGGTAAGTCATGGTACAGTGCACCCCAGTCACCACCTGCATCCAGCACTTATCACCCTGCCCCACCTCAGCTGCTTTGCGCGCTCGCTCCACCTGCAGGGAAACGACCAAACTGGTTCAACCCAAACAGGTGACTGACGACTGAGTCAGTCCCTCAGGAAGCTTGATGTTCGCCCCCCATCGAACTCTAGGCACAACAACAGATCGAAGGAGGCTTGACAACGGCTGGGAATATGCCATTTCAAAATATTAATAAATAAAGTTACATATACTATATATACTTGGTATTGCTTGGTATATTTGTGTTGTTTTGAAGAACACATAGTTTTTTGGCGGACATCTCTGTAGTGCAGTACTTTTGGGATTATGGATAGAATGGGTAAAACGATCAGCAGTGAAGCTTCGGCCAAACAAACACACAAATACGCAACGGCGCAAAACGGCGCCAAAACGGCACCAATTGTTTGAACATGTTTTTTCTTTGTACTACTGCATGAGGGTCCAAAGTGCCTAAGTGGCAGGCAAACCCATGAAGCGCCAGGAAACGACTAAAACTACATCAAGCAACATAATTTGCATACCTGGGTGTCTTAGGTATAGGGACTAATATTGATTCTAGAACAAAAGAGGGAGGATGGAGGATGAATCCTGTAGCCTTGATTTCCCCCAGAACTCACATCAACCCGGGTCGTTGAGTCCTGTTTTCATCATCCGCCGCACCGTTTTGCGGGTCGGGATCGGGTTCCTCATCCGCACTGTTTTTCAGGGTCGGGATCGGGACCTCAGGCGGTTCTTTTTTGTGCGAAATGCTGGATGGTCTTCACTCAGGGTCTCTACCCAGCTCAGGTCTGGGTTTTCGTGCCAGGAGTCCTCAAAACGACTCAGCCTAGAAACATGACCGCCCTCCAAAAAGGAACATCGAAACACCCTGAATAAGCAATCAGGGAATTGCCATTCCGATGATAACCTATTGCAATTCCGAATTTTCTGAGGAACGAACTGAGACAGGACAGGGACCTGGCGCTGTTTGTATGTGTTTGTAATCAGGACATGTCCCATGATAAAGGTTTGGGATAGGTTTGATGGACTATTGACTCACCACCACCTTGATCAGTTTGCCAAATCTCATTTAAAAAGCTCTGTCAGATTAGCTGCTTCTCACGTCATCTTCCAGGACTGGGACTTTGGGACTTGTCCGAAAAACGTAAGAAGAAGGGGAACTGAAGAACTTCGAGAAGCCTGGACACACATCCTAGTGACATCAGATTCTTCAAAGTGACCTCGGGCCTGGCTGCCAGGATCGGGCGCCACCCCATCGGACGTGAGATCGGGCTACACGGTTTTGTGACAGTGGTTCGGTCTTAGTCCGGACGATCGAGGTGTGCTAAGCCACTAGTGCTGCGCAGGTGTGTTAGCTTTGTCCCAGCTAAGACCCTGTTCCGGCCTCTCCCTTCGTCAGAACCGTTAACAGCTGATTCCGCTGCTGCTGGTTCCGCTGCAAGGTGAGGCCCAGCTTGGGTGCCTGGAGGGCTGGAGTGGTTGGCAGCTGGCAGGCATTAGGACCTGTCAGGGAAACAAGGAAAGCAGCTGTATGCATATTTTCTGTGGCAAAGGAAGTGCTCGAAGATACCACCAGTTCAATTCGGAATCTGTGTGAGTCAGGCCCGGTAACTAGTTTGGGGTTGAACCTTGACGCCAAATCATGAAGAGGGGGGGCACAAGTGATTTTTTAATGATGCGTCTCCAACAGTGCTCAGGAGATAGTTACGGTGAGGTTCCAAATGTTTTCCAGTATGAATTAAAGTATAATTTTGTATATGGTATGATGATAAATTTTAGATATAGACATAGATGATAGATGCGGCATTACCGCATTCTGTGTGCCTCCAAACCACAAATGGTTTTGTTAACATCTAAAGTTCCTCCGTTCTGAACATCCCTACCACCTTAGAATAAAAATAGAGGAGGACGTACCGTCAGTTTTTTGAAAAATAAATTGAACAAATCACAAATGTCCACGGAATTCAAGGGAAGGTGGAGCATGGTGGACCATGAGTTCGAGTGTCTAGCCTAACCCTCGCCATCAGGGTGGCTCAGCAACAACATGCAACAGCACAATCAAGGTACGTTGCCAGGTGCTCCGGATGTTGCTGGTGACTATTCATGGACAAGGTTAAAGATAGTAGCACCGGGCGCTGCTATCCAAAAATAGTAACACCCGGCGCGCCGGGCGCTGCCGTCCAAAGATAGTAACGCCCGGCGCGCCGGGCGCAATCATATTAAAGATGGGCTATAATCTCTTGGTGATTTTCTTGGTGGCTAGGGATCAAAAGGGGCCGACAAAGTTAGTGATGGCACTACAGGGCACTGCTATTTATTGCTTGCATATATTTAAAGACAGTGCGCTACCGGCTGACACATAGGATAGGATGCTTCACTGGCGACTGATGGGGATACCACAGCTGGTGTTGGACGCTACAATTTGTTGCTCATCTATTTCTGGACACTACGCTACAGCAAAGATATATGGGATGCGTAACACCTCCAACTGCCATCAAAGATAGTCACGCCCGGCGCTGCCATCAAAAGATAGTCACGTCCGGCGGGCCGGGCGCTGCCATCAAAAGATTGCCACGCCCGGCGCGGCGGGAGCTGCTATCAAGAGATAGTGTAACGCCCGGCGCGCCGGGCGCTGGCATCAAAAGACAGCAACACCCGGCAGCTGCTTCATGATTGATAGGCGAAGAGGCAACGAGGTTCTGAACTAATATGAACTGTTTTTTTGTGGCACGCCAAGGTGTTCATTCCAGAAAATAATGTCGAGCTTACGGCCGCTGGCTTTCAAAATAGTGCTTTTCCTTTTCCCGGCAGTGGCTTTCACATCCAATGGTCACAACTCCCGATAGCTTTAAAGAGCCTAAAATACTTTTGTTGAGTACATCGCAAGAGGTCAGGCACACACTTCCAGACAATAATGTCGGCCGCAAGCTCGACATTAAAACGGGGTGGCGCAACATAAGCAAAATCCAGGTGTCGGAACTCAGTGTTTACTCTGCCACTGAGGCCCCTGCCTCCAAACGGTTCGCCAGGACTGTTGCCGAATGCAGTGACTGGAAACTCCTCCGGCCAGCATCTGTCCTTCACGAAGACTTCGACCCATCTCACGATGGATGCTGTGGCGACTTGTCGCCAACCGACACTTGCAGCCATCAGAGTTCACGTGCCTTTTCAGGAGCTCAGCATACGACGGGTCGTCGGTGTCTACCATGCATGTGGCAGGCCAACCATTTGACGAAGGAATCCAAGAATTGCAAATGCTCTTCTCCCATGGTGATGGAGATTCAAGAATGATTGAGCCTCACAACGCCACTCGAACCACCAAAATAATGTCGAGCTTCCGGTCACTGGCTCAATTGGAATGAACACCATTTCGAGCCACCAAGGGGCTCAATTCTATCGTGTTCTAGCTCAAACCCGTAGCCCACATCCTCGCATCTCCACCTCAAGTGGAGACTTCTTCTGTGACTCATTGGCTGGATCCATCCTGAGAGGCTTCCAATGACTCATTGTCTGGCTACAGCTGCCCACCTTCAAGAGTCGCCATGGGGCATGGATTTGTCTCCAAAACGGGGTTTAAATTTAGACCCCCTTTTCACATGGAAATGAGTGGCGCATAGTGGCACACACAGCATGGAAAAGACTCCAGTGGACCAGCTACAGTGATGAGTCATGGCGTCGTCGCTCTTCATTTTCTCTGAGATGGCTGCGCCCGGCGCGCCGGGCGTGACTATCTTTTGATGGCAGTTGGAGGTGTTGCGCATCCCATATATCTTTGCTGTAGCGTAGTGTCCAGAAACAGATGAGCAACAAATTGTAGCGTCCAACACCAGCTGTGGAGCTGTGGTATGCCAGTGAAGCATCCTATGTGTCAACCGGTAGTGCATTGTCCACAAATATACACAAGCAATAAAAAGCAGTTCCATGTAGTGCCATCAATAACTTTTGTGGGTTCCTTTTGATCTCTAGCCGCCTAGAAAATCACCAAGAGATTATAGCCCATCTTTAATGATTGCTAGCGCCCGGCGCGTTACTATCTTTGGAAGGCAGCGCGCGGCGCACCGGCTGTTTCTATCTTTGGACTGAACTCCTGCGGACCCAATGAGGAGGGGAAAAGCGCTTAGTTTACAACAGCAATGACACCAGCACCGTCATTTACTTGGACATGAAACCAGGAAATAATCATTGACCCCCCCCGATAGTTGTCAGCGCACTAATTGACCCCACCACTCTCTGCCAACTGTCCAATGGGGCCTCCGCTTTTTTCAGGACCCCCGGTCCGACCCCGGAGCCGAGGCCTCCGCCATGTCTTTCTCCTTCTCCTCCTTCTCCTCCTCAGCTCAACATGCTGTGACTTTCAGCTAGTCAGGTGGGTAACCCATGATCCATCCTCAATGGCTAGGTGGAAACACTGTGCACTCGACGAAGAATGAACTCCGGAAAGAACACCACGTTGCTGAGTGACCGCTCAACAATGCCCAACAAACCATATTATCCTTCCTTACTTTGTTACTATGCATGCACCACTAAACGAAACGCCACAAAATGATACTATAATTTGTTATCTGCATGATGACAAACATGTTTTCAATTGATCAAAGACTTCTCATGGGTCGCTGGCCACATCACCACGGTTGCATGAAAGAGTTTTGACACACCTTCACGGTCGCTGGCCACAGTCATCCCGTCATCCTGCGTTCCGTTCCACGAACTTTCTCACTCCGACCGGTGCGACCCGGACCGACACGATAAGGGTCGTTACGAGTCGACTCGGGAGTCGACGGCTCGGTCCTTGAGTTGTTCCGCCACGTCTGCCACTGCAAAGGCCAAGGCTTGTGAGGCCTGACAGGTCGTTCCAACAACCCATCCATGACCACCGAGCGACCGGATGTGTTTCGCCATGCGCAGACAAGACCCAAACCAATGGGACTGGTTTTTGTTGACCTAGACATGGATGGGTGGTGCCAGAGGGGTCAATTGATCGGCATATATGACAGACATGGAGTGTGTGGGACATGTTCCCAACATGTTGCAATAATATTTTACAATCCAGTTGGAGGTGAATGCCATCTTGCCAGGATCCTGACAAGCAAACAAGCAAGAATCCTGTGAGCCAAGACGAACGCCCAAGAAGGCTTCACTGGATTCATGCCTACGGAATAGGCGCCGGGGTGTCTGGTAACTGACCTTTGAATGTATGAAGCAGGAAACTATATGGATTCCTGTTCTCTCCGACCCCCCCCAAAAAATAAGATACTGATACAGTCGGTACAGAACGAGTCAGTGAACTTCCTGACGTTCCCCGTCCACCCGGCGCCATCGCGTCCGCCCGTTGAGCGCCTCGCTACGGCGCTTGGCCACCTCCTGGAAGCTGGCGGATGGTGAGAGATCTTCACCCGGAGGAGTGGAAGATGGATTTGATCCAATTGGTGTGCTTCAAATGTCCGGTTGAATGGACATGTGAGTTCTGAGATGCTCTTTTGGTTTACTTCAACTGTCGGTTGAGTTGAAATGTCCTGAGTCCGAATGTGTTCTGAGATCATCTTTTTTTGTTTAACAGTATCGACTCTATATAGATCGATGATATTTTAGAGGTCAATGTAGGTGTGAAGATATATGTCTACACCCCAAATGTCAAGATTCATGTTGACATCCCGGTGGTTGATCCGGCCCATTTATGTGGTGTCAACCCTGACATCATTAAGAGCCATGAGTGTTCTCAACATGTAGGTTTCGGATTCAGGGCGTATTGGATTCTAGGGCGCCCCGCCCGCTGCTTCGTTCAATGGCTGAGGAAAACCGAATTCCGCGGGTCTTCGATACGACCCGGTCGACGTGCAGAAGCTCGACGGTTCGCTGGGTCCGGATGAAATCCGGTCGGACGCTTTGGTTCACCGGAAACGAGACGATGAAACCGTAGGCCTCGTCTGGTGCCTTGTCATGGTCCGGTTGGTGTAGCTTAGCATGTGTCCATCAGGTGCCCACAGCTCAAATAATCTGATAGCTCTTATACAAACAAACAATAAACAACAGGCAAGAAACTCTTCAGGAACAACATCAACGTCACTGTGAATAGCAGAGCTCAGAATCATTCAGAATCAATACAAGGGAAACCTTAAACATGTGGGCAAATCCTACAATCTTGAAACAGTCCCATATGTTGAAAACGATCTTCACTCCCTTCCAAGCTCGCGCCGAAGCTTGCTCAAGCAGCTCGCGACGGCAGCTCTCCTCCGAAGCCAACTGGCTTGCTAAGCGCTGCTCAGTGCGCTGCAGGGAATGCCGAAGATGTTCTTCTTCCTTTCCTTGGACCACAACACCGAAGTTCCCAGGGCCGGCGGTGAACCACCCCACCTGTGACAAGGTCCAAATCACATGCACCTAAACGATGTAAGCTGTTCTTACCCAACTACGGAAGCATTGACTTGTTCAATCGCATGAGATGCGGGATCTCAATGAGAAGTCTGAGTGCGACAGCCTCTTGGATCCTAAGTTAAGCAGGGCTGCGTTTGTGCGCTGTGCAGGGCTCGAACTCAAGGGTTTGACGCCCTAAGATCCTAAGATCCAAGGCCATTGGTTTGAGGCCCATCCAGGTTGTGAAGTTATAAACTTTTTCTGGAAGGTCTTGACCGAGTCTTGACCTTGACACGACCTTTGGTATCCATAGAAAATCATAGAAAGGTCCTGACTTTCAGATGGCCTCCGCAGCTAGAGCAGGACCTCCTTCTCCCACCTCTCAGTCTAGCGCTATGGAATACGTGGCGTTTCTTCCACGTCTTTTCGGCGGAGTGGGCTCTCAGTGGATGAAAGCTGGTGAACATTAATGACAACATTGACGACTGCCGCAGTAAGAGAAAGTGTATACTTACAGCAACATTATTAGTGCAACATCTCTGTGCGAGGATGATCGTGCCAGGTGCTTCCAACGGGTCACCAATGGACAACCCTACCCTACCTATAGGTCTCCATTGGGCACCCATTTGGAAGTGCTAGGTACAGAGATGTTGTTGGGTGCCAAGCCAAGCCCAAAGCCCGGAGGTGGGATCTCTGGACTCCCAATGGTCCGGCCATGCGGAGGCGACACGGAAGTGACATGGCTCATGTAACCCGTCGGACATGGACGGAGCAATGATCTCCCAATGGAAGGGGCATTTGGTTGTGGGTCAACCAGTGGCCACAGGTAGTCACTGGGAGCCGCTGCGAATAAACATGTGACCATATGTGGCCTTTTAAGTCGAGAAACACCACCAACGTCAAGCCTGACGTGCTGCACAGGGTAGACCCTAGTGAATCTCCTTTTTGAATTGATACAGCGGTTTCAGAGTAGATGTATATAGATGGCACAATCTCCAAAAGGACATCTATAGGAAGTTAGGTAGTTAGTAGTAGTAGGTATGGACATGGACATCCAAAAAAACACATAAAAACACATATTTGGGTGCCACCTGGAGCCATCTGCATACCAGAAGGAAGGGGGAGAGAAAGCAGTGCCATCTACTCTGAAGCCACTCGAATCAATCCTGGCGGACCTTCTTTCAGGTGCGCCAATGAACCACGCGACCGGGTCGTTTCTGCATTGATTGTGGGGAACACCATATACCAGGGGGGCCCGAACCAAACCATGAAAAACGTTTTCACATACCAAAAACCATGTCGTTTTGCTGAGGGAAAACACGGCTTTTGATGGTTTGTGGGGCCTCTGGTAGGCCTGGAGAATAGCTAGCCATAGCTAGCCCCAGCACGCGCGCCACCCACAAGAATCGCAACATCAATCCGTCTACATGTTGCTCTTCCCCGACGGCTGCTGCGACGAACCCAAAGGCTCGAACGATCTACCAAGCGTCGGCCCTCATCACGTTGCTTCCGCAAACTCTCCAGGTGCTCCTGCGACGGAAGCGCCGAATGCTTCCAGCCGGTGGCGGAGCGTGCAATATAGACTTCGAGTACTGTGAATATCCAAATTTCTCGAGTTTTGGAGTATTTTTTCACATGTCTGGAGACTCTGAAAATTGGAACAAGAGGTATAGCAACTTGAAGGGTTCTTGGAAGCTGCTGGATGACCTGTCGAAGGGACTTGAACTGACCAAAAGTTGCTCCTTCTCTATACCTTAAAGTACAACGGCCTCACTTCAGGACAAATGATGCAAATACAGGCCACCACCGTTTAGGTGAGCCGTTTCGCGACCCTGGCACAACACCTGACATCATCCAACTCCGCTTCTTGGGAATCCTTTCGGCCCGCCCGAGCCTGAAAAACGGCCTGGCTTATATGGCTTTAGGGCAGATTGTCAGGTGCATTCGATTCCTCTTTTGACACTGAGGTCATGCAGGTCCAATGTCACCGCTCGCGCTCACCACATCCTCTCCACATCCTTCCGAGTTTCCAGTGCCGGCGAACGCACGACGAGTCCAGCCCGCCAGAAATCCCTGCCCTGATCGTTCCGAAAGACTCCGTAAAACTCACATATTCCAGCAGTCACAAAGGAATGGTTTTTAGTCCCTAAGTGAGTGGATAATGGGCACCCCTACCCTTCAATAGGCACCCCTTTGTGACTGCTGGTTTACTGATCAAATCCCATCAGTTGAGGGTGGTTGAAAAGGATCAATCTAGGCCGGCATATAATAGCTGGTATTCCAGTCGAATGAGTCGGTCACGAGCAAAAAGCGCTATCACATGACTCCACCCCGCCTTGTTCTGCTTCAGCTGCTGCATGAGCTCTCGTTGCACCTCCTCCGCCGTCTCGATCTCGGATGCCAGCCGCTCCAGCTCAGGGCTCAAGTCCGTCAAGCGAGCCTGGTCGATGGGCAAACGACATCGCACAGACCAACCTCGCGGGGTGTGCCAGTCGGATGCCCAGTCTGTCCAAGAGAGAGAGGTAGCCAGTGACCGTATATAGCCTGGGGTACCCAACTGGGATAGTCTAGTTCGGGTAGCATGTTTGGGGAACTGATTGGACCAACCCATGAAACAAATTCTTCACATCTCCAATTTCTTCAAGGAACGGACACCTCAGAATGGTTTGTGGAGGATCTGTCTTCCTTGATATATATATATATATATTAATTTTACAATATATATACCAGGACCTTCCCAGTGACCTTTTGAGATCTCAGAATGAGGCCACTTAGGCCTTGAAAAGGTCACTTATCAATTCTGAAGAGGTCACTGGGAAGGTCCTGGTACTAACTTTATAACAACAATCAACCACAGCTCGCACTTGACTTGTCCAAAACCACAGCTTTTTCAGCATCTTCCAACACACCCACCGTCCGTACCCCTGCGGTCCCCGCCTTGAGGCCCTCGGACTTGCTACAGAGCTGTGCCCGGCGCTCGGTGAGGCCGTTCGCGTTCAGGTCTGCGCCAGACGACCGGCCACGCGTACGTGCGGCAGGTGTGTGTGTGCAGGTGCGTGGCGGGGACGGCCCAGATCACATCAGAGGGAAGTCTATAGGGTACTACAGGAAAAACAAGACACGGCAACATCGTTCAGTCTGGACCAGCACCCTGGTATGATGTCAACTGTGTACACTTGTTGTGGGTGTAATTGGTGCAAACATGTTCCATCTTTTCACATTGCCTTTGAGTCCATTGCCACGTCTTCCAAACCTGACCCCAACCACTTCATTTGGGTTCTACACTTCACCATCACCCAACTTTTCCATCGACCATCAACGAGCTCGAGCGCAAGTAAGCTCCGCCGCCTCCGCCTCCGCCCATCGCCCATCTGCGCCTTGGCCATTGGCGGCCAACGAGTCCGCCAAAGCCTTCGCGGAGGTGGCCACCGAGCTGACCGTACTCTGGTAGAGCTGCCGCTGCTCCTGAAAGCGAAGGAATTTCGAGCGACATCCAAAGGCCGAATCATTCAGCAAACCTTCTAAGTTTACAAGAACTTATAGAAGGCCTTCTTTATGGTAGCAACGGTCGATTTGCAGGATGGACACTGTCCACGCCTTGGCAACTCGGACAACATGGAAGGACTATACGAAAGACGAGCTTGCGGCTCGCTCGCTTGGGTTCTCCGTGTTTTGCGCTTCTTTGCAGCAAGGCAGACCGGTAGATCTTTCTGTGATTCATGCACCAACATCGATTTTTGGGGGAGCATCATCATCGATGTTTGGGGCTGAACAACACGACTTGGTGTTCCCCCCCACACCATCGGCAGCTGTGCGTCCAAAGCTCCGGCTGGTCCGGACCCCGGAGTCCAGCGCAGAACAGCGTGAACCCCGCTGCTAGACCACCGACCGTGCCGGCAGCGCACTTTTGAAAGCCTCCAATTGATCCCGTGACTGGGCTCCTGGCCCCCTCCTTTTCGAAGATGGTTTGGGGGGATGTTGGGGTTGGTGCCAGGGGGGTCGATTACCACCGAACCTGAGGAGATGGGCCAGGAGGTGCAGGGTTTTCCATCCCGATGTGCCTAATTGGTCAAGCCGGGTCCACGACTGGCTCATCCAGGTCCGATGCAGCGAACCCTGTGCGAATGACTGTGCTGGTGGTTCCATGACACTTGTTCAGTCCCAAACCAACTTACTAACAGAAACAATAGTTTTTGATTCTCGGGTTTAAGACCTGGACACAAACTCTAATGTGTTTGATGTATTTGAATGATTTTGAATCTTGGATTCAGACTTCCTCGCTTTGAAGTTCTCCCACAACCGACATCGCAGCTGCCATGGTCCTTCTCGGCCACGATCGCTCGCTGCACCTCTTCCTCGGGGCCGAAAAAAGTGCCAAAAGGACCGCTAAAAAAAGGGGAGTTAGATGGAAGTGGGTCAAAATCGTTCCGAAAAGGACCCAATTCCTCAACATTCCTTGTTTTGTTGGGTACTGCTGCCATGACCTACTGCCAAGATTGAGGGTGCACGGGTCATGTCAGTATGTTCCGCATCGCTGGCGGCAAATCATTGGGCCACGCTGGGCTGTGTTAGCGTGTTCCTGGCCAGCCGGCCACCGACATGTGAATCGGTCATTCCCACAGGTATTGAAGCTCAATACATTGGCGGGCAGACTTACTGATGCTCAAGACCTTCAGCGTCATAAATCTGGACTTCAATAGGCGATCGGTCTTCCAATGTTGTGCCTCCTGGTACAATCTACAAAGTCACAGAATATGGCGCAGGGTTCCATGCCACAAGTGCGAACAATAAGTGTATGTGTTCCATGTAAATAATACATACCCTTTCACATTCAATGGAAGGTCCACCAAAATGAGTCTTGTTGGCCGCTTCTGCATTGATCTGGTCCTTTACGGCTCGGGCTCAGAACCCAAGAGACCACCCTCGCCCGGCTTGGCCCCATGACCTTCCAATACAAAACAACACCGCAATCTAAGCTCTTGAGTTGTATTTCATATGAAACTCTGTAGAGTGGCCACATGTCATGTTGAAGAAACTCCGCATTTGTTGCAGATGGTTGCAGAACATGTGCTCTCAGGCTTTTGCTCACCACCCATTGACCCTGCCCAGTCACCGTCATGACCCGATTTCAGCTGCCCCAGGCACCGCCAAGGACGCCCTTCGGTCGACCACGTTTTCCATGGCCACAACCGCCTCAGCTGCGTGGCATGGCAGGCCACGCGCCACGCGCGGTCCGTCCGGAGGAAGCGCGAGGATGGCAGGCGCGGGCACAGCCCGTCAAAGGGCCCTGTGGCCCTGACAAGGTCCATTGACTCTGGAGGCGTCTGAGTCCGAAGATGCCCTGCGGTCTTCAAAGGTTGTCTTTAAATCAGTCCTGTGACTTGAAACACAAGATCACTGAAGAAAGGGTGGAAAACACCCTACAAGAGTTTTCACGACTCAATAGATGTGAACCTGGTCACCAATTGAAGCCTCTGTAGGTCCTCCTATGTCTTCCGAGAAAGGCCAAACGGTGAGAGCAAGGCTACCGGACGACAACACCAACAACACCAACAACACCAACACCAACACCAACACCAACACCAACACCAACAACAACAACAACAACAACAACAACAACAACAACAACAACAACA